AAAGAATTAGAAATGATACAAAATTTTACTAAACAAGATGACAGGAATTCAGTGATGGCTGTTGCATTGTATACTGCTATCTAAATACAATTAACAAATAAATATATGAATGAAACCTTAAACATGATTGGTCATTCAAGAGACACAAATTAAAACAACACTGAGATTCCACCTCAGCCCAGAAAGAATAACTACATCAAGAAGTCAACCAATAGGCCGGGGAGATGGCTCAGTGGAATAAGTGCTTCCCTGGCAAGCGCAAGGGCCTGAGTTCAATCCCCAGTTCCGGAAAAAAAAAAAAAGAAGAAGTCAACCCATAACAGATGTTGAAGAGGCTGTGGGGAAAAAGGAAACTTTCTTCACTATTGGTAGGAGTACAGACTGGTACATCCACTATAGAAATTATTGTAGGCAGCTGAATGAGATAGAAATATTATAGGTAGTCAGACAGGGCTAGACCCTCAAGGAGTCAGCACAGGAGACAAGATATGTTGCAGCTGTGGGAGAGACAGAATGCTCCTGCTGTAGGCCAGACCTAGAGACCAAGCATCGAAAAAATGCTGACCTCCCTAAAGATAAGCATCTGGGATTGATCATCACCTCGAGGAAGCTGGGAAGAGTCACTAGTCCAACTGCTCCTAGCTATTGGCTAAACTCATGTACCATAATTCATGAATTCATGCCCACTTGCTGTGTGATGCACTTCCCCATTTGCTTCTGGATTTAATCAATTTAAATCTGAGCAATGGTGCTTGTAATCTCATTGGTGACCACAGTTTTGTCCCACCTCATGCCCAACTAAGTGAGTTTCTGCATTCTCCACCTTAGACCCACTCCACCACAGGGCTTTACTCTATAAAAATCCCTAAAGAGACAACTTCCCAGGGAAAACCCACTTGGACCCCCCTTCTGTCCCTCTCCAACAGAAGCTTTCTTTCTCCCAATAAATATCTTGTTCTTAACCTCTATTTGTTTCTAAACTTCATTCTTTGGTTTTAGAGAACATGAACTTGTCCAAGGTACCTTTTAGGTTGGGGGTCTTATTTCCCTTATATCAATACAACCTACCTGAAGGTCATTTGTCTGCTTGCAAAATTCTTCATAATCCTGGTCAAAATCCATTTTCCTCTGGTCTAAGAAATTATATTCCTTTTTCTTTATGGTTGTAATGATGTTCTGGAATGTTACGAGGCAAATAGATAAATTTCAATATTCATGTATTACATAACCAAATTGGATGCTTAAATTCAGAATTAATATAATCATTCTCAAAATATGTTTAAAAGAATGGTTATTTTTCATGTACTCACATTGCTTAGTGCTTATTATTTTATTATTTTAAAGACACTATAATGTTGCCATTCTTCATTCAAAATAGAAAATATTTTCATGATATTGTATATAGTTTAGAAGAAAACATAAAGTAAGAATTTTCACATCTGAAAAATTAGGAGATATTTTCCTTAAAAGTTTCTTGCTAATCACATCTGAAATTAGTTTTGAAAAAAGCTCAGAGCAGACCTGACTAAAATATTTTTTCTTCAAGTGTTAAATCATTTAAGAAAATTAATAATAAAACACAAACAGCATGCAAAGAAAATGATTGTGTTACAGTAGGTGCATTAGGACCTTACAAACCTCAAGTGTCTCAAATAAAATGTCGAACCACAAGCCATTTCAAGTTCTCTAGGACTGACCGCTTCCTTCTTCCCTAATCAGCTACAGGCTATGACTGTGAAAGGACATGGTGGACAGCTCATCTCCTTGAAAACACAAGCACCCCATGTTTTGTTTGCTCTGAACAGTGAGATGTAATACTCTGTGATCATTCCTAACCAGATACTAAGCCATTCGCAAACTCAGGGGCCCATACTGCTGATAAAAGCATATTGTCTTTATTAGGAATACTGGGTCCATCCTACAGTCTCCCCTTCACAGGCATTTCATTTAAACATCCACTTGGGCCTCTTAATAGACCCAAGTGCATAAACTGCATAACTTGTCAAATCAAGTTTACTGGTTAAAATAACCAACTCCATCAGGTTATTTAACTACAAAATTAGTTATACAGATAGGTATGCATATATTACATTAAAATGTCTAAAGGAAGTATGGAAAAGCTACATTTTAATGTAGTACCTTAAAAGATTTAAGAACCAGAGCAAATACTGCTTTTTTACTGGGTTTCATGGCCACTTAAGAGTATTAAGTGAGTAGAATTATCAATTGTGACCTTTAAAAAACTAGTCAAGCGCCATATGCTCAATCACTTACTGCCTAATAATGTATTTCACAACTATGATACAGCAGCAAATTTCGAAGGTACAGGAATGAGCAGAACAGACAAACCCCCTGACCTGGGGAGCTACACACGCAGGGGAGGCACAGTTTCAGGATCTAGGCATCACAATCAGTGAAGGAAATCCTCACTGGCAGAGCTGTCCACTGTTCCAGAGACAGAGGCAGCAGCTCTGCGTGGGGTGGACCCTCTCAGGCAGCGCTGTGCTTGTGGGCTCCGTGTGCCCTCGGGGGACTGCACTTGCCTTCCGGCATCTAATGACCTCCTAAGGAAGGGAAGTCAGCACAGGGCAAGGATGGAAGGACCACCACGCAGAGAGCGTGAAGCTCACTTCCTCAACTCTTAGCTTTGGCACTGTTCATGGAATTCTCCTTGTGCCCCCATGAATCACCTGCCTGCTGTCTGCCTGCTGTCTGCTATATCCATTTTAATCAGTATTCTGCTTTATATTTTCAAAGCAAATTTCCATTATTTTTTATCAGGCTAGAATGACTTTTTTTTTTTTAATTTTATTTGTGTGTGTGTGTGTGTGTGTGTGTGTGGCCAGCTCAGCCCACCAGGGGGCGGGGCCGGCTGGCATGTGGTGCTGGGGGTTGAACCGCGGTCCCTGTGGTTTGCTAAGCTTGTTCTAAGTAGGTGCTTTAGACCACTGAGCCATCTCACCAACCCGTAGAATGACTTCTCACATGACTTCAGTTGTATAGTTCAGCTTCTTATTTAAAAATAATCTTTGAGGGGCTGGTGAGATGGCTCAGTGGTCTAAAGCACCTACTTAGAACAAGCTAAGCTAAACAAAGCACAGGGGCCACGGTTCAATCCCCCAGCACCACATGCCAGCCAGCCCCGCCCCCTGGTGGACTGAGCTGGCCACACACACACAATATAAATAAATAAATATTTTTTAAAAATAAAAATAATAAAATAAAAATAATCTTTGAAATGTGCCAGTGTCGATTTTTCATTAAAAATAAAAAATAATAAGATTCCAAACTGAAAAGATAAATGAATGTATTCTCTTTGCTTTTAAAAACTGTCACTTTGGAAGCAGTTTATCCCCTGGCAGGAGATACACGGCACATTTATTATTTCCTGTTATACACATTTTTTTCTTTTTCTCTCCCAGAACCAGATGTACTCAGGCAACAAGAACAGATTCCTGATATTGGCCTAAACTTTTAGAGTACAAAAACAATATGCGGCAGTAAATTACACAATCCTTTTCAAATTCAAGGAGAAAAAATAATTCAAATTTTAGTGTCACTGTTTCTAGAAAAGAAAAAATTGACAGTATCCATATTAAGAAGCATATTTTGTTTGTATGCTTTGAAGACTTTTAAAGTCTTCAAAATACTATTAGACCACTGTACCCAATCTCGCACTAAGCTCCAACACAGTTTATCAATGGAGAAAGTGAGGAGCAGTCAAGACAATTAGGAATATTAAAGCTACACTAAAACCTCATCCTTTCCATGTTTTAACATGTACAAATAGGATGCTGAACTGCATCATGTGCAATACCTTGGATGTCTTCTAGGGTCTGACATGTTGTATATTCTTCATTAGATATTTCTTCCATGAATAAATGAAGCAATAATGTTATATTTAAAGCTTCGCCTATGCTACTAATGAAAATGTTTTCTAATGATGATTAATTTTGAAGTCATACTTACAATCATATACTTAGAAAATAATTCAATTAGCATCATGAAGCAATTCTCAAATGAGTTTGCTTATTGCTAAAACATGACATCATATTTTACATTCTAAGCTGGTGATTAGAATCACTCTTAAGAACATTATTTGAGGAGCCGGGGAGATGGTTCAGTAGAATAAGTGCTTGCCTGGCAAGCGCAAGGGCCTGAGTTCAATCCCTGGTTCCGCCAAAAAAAAAAAAAAAATTATTTGCATAAAGTATTAATGTTGATATAGGTAACAGAAGCAAATATAAAGTATAATACCTGATACTTAATGACCATGTTGTCCAGTCCTTCGATGCTAGAGTCTTGTAGGACTGAGTATGTTTTGATGCTGGTAAAGATGTCCATTATCTTGGCAAGGCGTCGGTGGAAAGTTTCAAATTTGCCAAAAATATACATTTCACTAAACTCAAATTGTTTTTCACTTGGGTTTTCTCTGAGTCTTTGTTTTGTCTTGTGAAAGCAGTGTTGATATTCCTGAAAATCAAAATTCAAGAGTAAGAAAAAAACATAGGGCCCTGAGGAGGCAGCTCAGTGGCAGAACACCTGCCGAGCATGGACAGGGCTCTGGGCTCAATCTAGGTACTGCCGCCAACGAATGGGCAGGGAGGGAAGGGATTGAAAGGAAGAGAGAAG